AATTCATTGTCAGGGTCCTGTCCACGGCAGAAGTTCTGGAAGATCTGGCATTTCTGCCAGTACCCTGCATGGCCGCAGAAGCACACATCAGCCTTTGTTTGGTGCCAGACGGCCTTTATGAGGAGGCTCATCACTTCTTCAAGTTGCTGGATGATCTCTAGCTCCCCGTGCCCTGTTCCTGTTTCCTGTGATTTTGACCTGTGATTTTGTTAGGGATCCGGGTGTGACCAGAAATGTGTGGACTGACACAGGGAAGTAGCAGGCTTCAAGAACACAGGCGTAGTCAGGGCTGGAGAGGTGGAATGGTCAGGCAGGCCGCAAGGTACTGTCAGGCTCTGCCCAACGGGATCTCTGGTGGTCCACAGCACAGGGTTTCCCAGGACGCGGAGAATGGTCGGGGTCACAAGCCAGGTTCAGCAGGTAGCGGGCAGCGTGGTACCGAGGGGCAGGCAGAAGGATGGTCAGGAACGAGCCGGGGTCAGAGCAGGAGAGGGTCAGCGTAAATCAGAACAGGCAGAGTTTGGCAACAAGGAAACATACTTACAGGACAGGAACAAGATACAGGATACAAGGGCTCATGGGAAACATTTACACCAAGGCACAGATCACAGGCCTGGTCATTCCTTAAATACACCTGCCTGTAATCAGCCCCAGGTGTTGGCTGACTGCAGAAGTGAGCTTCTGGCTGCTGAGAGCACCCGCTGGTCAGCCCTGGTACTGCAGCCCACACGGCAGGTGAGTCCCACCACCAGTGCTGAGTCCATTCCTGACAGATTTCCTGTTACCGACTCGGCTTGCTCCTGGGCCTGTCTACTCTGCCTTACCCCGGATCTGACTTTGGCTTGGCTTATGGATACTCTCTCTCTCTCTCTCTCTCTCTCTCTCTCTCTCTCTCTCGCTCCTCTGTGTATGACCTCGGCTATCCCATCTGGCTACGTCCGCTCTGATTCCCACCTGGTACCTGACCTTGGTTTAAAACCGACTACCCAGTAAACACCTAAATCCCGGAAGGGCTTGCATACCACGCACAGGCGCCTCCTGTCTGTAGACCTATCTCCGTGCACCAGCTATGCTCTGAGTGGACCACCAACCAGCCCTCCTACAGGTGACCTGTGCCACTTTGGGCCTGACTCCCGCTGTCCCACTCTCGGAGTCCGGAACTTAGCCGCAAGGGAAGCCCTCTCTCCATTGGCCTCCATCACCAGGTAAATGAAATTCATTCTGTGGAAAACAGAGGCAAAGGCAAAGAACCGAAGCTACAAAATGTCTTCAACATCATTGAAGGCCAACTGAAGGTGAACAAGTACAACTAGATATACCATGACTTGGAGAAATGAGGTCCTACATAGACAACAATGTTCTAAGTGGAAATGGAAACCTTGAACTCAGGGGAGGGAGATCTCTAGTAACAAAATGAAAACCGTTTCAGAGGGGCACACGGTGCAAGATCTCCTCTATACTCCATTAGTGAGAGCATCTTGTGGTACATTGGAATGCATACAGAGAAGGCCCAGAGATATCACCCGTCACTCCTACAGGTCCAGGGGCCTCTGTGGTCAGGCAGACTCTCTATATTTGTCTTCTTTCTTCCCTTACAGTTTAAGAGCTGAAATTGACAGGTCAGGTGTTTCCATTTTGAACTTTAAAGAGACCCTGTCATAAAAAAACCAAATGAAAAACCAAACCTACAGCAGTCTCTAATACCCTGACTTGAAGGCCAAATGTTGGACCACAATGGATATTGCTTGCTGCTACCTCCCTCCTGCCGCTCCTGCCCTCCAAGCATTCCTATTGGCCCATCACTATGATGGCCTGCTTCAATGACCAATAGGAATGTGCAAGAGGCCGGAAATGGTGGGCACCTTCCATTCAACTGTAGAGCTCTAAGTGGTCCAAGTGACGGAGCCGGAGACCTGGGATCTCTAGGTTCTGCACATTACACCTGCAACAGGTTTGCTTTATTTTCATTGGTCCTCTCTTAATGTGTTGTAAACTGAAAACCGGCAAGACTAAAGTATAATCTGTGTGTGTGACTTTGGGTGGGGGGCCCATGGAACACAGCTCACCTTGGGTGGGGGGCCCATGGAACACAGCTCACTTTGGGTGGGGGGCCCATGGAACACAGCTCACTTTGGGTGGGGGGCCATGGAACACAGCTCACTTTGGGTGGGGGGCCATGGAACACAGCTCACTTTGGGTGGGGGGCCTATGGAGCCATGGAACACAGCTCACTCACTTTGGAGGGGTGGGGAGACCCCTGTCTCAGCTCACCCATATCCCTCTTATGTGTAAGTCACCCTGTGCCTGTTAGGGTACAGGGTGGAATGTCCTAATATTGGGGGGGGGGGTTGTTGATTGTTTAATGCCATGTGGTGCATCCCATTGTTCTATTGTTTGTCTTGCTTGGGAGCAAACTATTATGGGATGTATGTGTTTATGTGTATTGGCTTGGTGGGGGGGTGTCTCCAGCAGCCCTCCCTCCTGATGAGACTGTCTGCTGGTGTGTCTCTTGTTACTACATGTAGATTGCCCCGCCCTGTGTCATTATGCGGGGGGGGGGGGGAGGATTGTCCCCTGAGTGTATATATATTGTATCTGTGTTCCAATAAGGTAGTCTACTTCCTGGTTTACTTCAAGACCGGTGTCGTCTAGTCCTGTATGGTCTCTGTGGTGTCAGTGGTCGGTGTTTGGACAGATTGGTGTCGTCTAGTCCTGTATGGTCTCTGTGGTGTCACTGGTCGGTGTTCGGACAGACTGGTGTCGTCTAGTCCTGTATGGTCTCTGTGGTGTCAGTGGTCGGTGTTCGGACAGATTGGTGTCGTCTAGTCCTGTATGGTCTCTGTGGTGTCAGTGGTCGGTGTTCGGACAGATTGGTGTCGTCTAGTCCTGTATGGTCTCTGTGGTGTCAGTGGTCGGTGTTCGGACAGATTGGTGTCGTCTAGTCCTGTATGGTCTCTGTGGTGTCAGTGGTCGGTGTTCGGACAGATTGGTGTCGTCTAGTCCTGTATGGTCTCTGTGGTGTCAGTGGTCGGTGTTCGGACAGATTGGTGTCGTCTAGTCCTGTATGGTCTCTGTGGTGTCAGTGGTCGGTGTTCGGACAGATTGGTGTCATCTAGTCTTGTATGGTCAGCGGTGGTGTCTGAGGTCAGTGTTCGGACGGGGAAGCGGTATTATAACGGGAATACCCAAGTGCAGTCTGGGTCGGTTCCGTCACAGTGTGCGAATGACGGGCATTCAGTCGCATTGTCAGCATTTCACAAGTGAGTTCCTAGGTGTTTCTGTAATGAGCTGTTCTGTTTTCAAATGTCCCTCAATGCCATGATATGTGTCCTTAGAGCCAGTCTGTCTGGACAGTACGGTCACCTGCTGACTCGGCACCATCCACAGGCAGCGTAACTCTTCGATAAGACACAGAAGCCGAATCCAACACAATTTTACTTTCTATAGTTGGAGCACAGAGGATGTTTTTCCAGTCCTTTGATGTGTAAGAAAACGATAAGAGCCCTGTGTGACGGGAGTGACTTTGGGTGGGGGGCCCATGGAACACAGCTCACTTTAGGTGGGGGGCTCATGGAACACAGCTCACTTTGGGTGGGGGGGCCCATGGAACACAGCCCACTTTGGGTGGGGGGGCCATGGAACACAGCTCACTTTGGGTGGGGGGCCCATGGAACACAGCCCACTTTGGGTGGGGGGCCCATGGAACACAGCTCACTTTGGGTGGGGGGCCCATGGAACACAGCTCACTTTGGAGAGGTGGGGAAACCCCTGTCTCAGCTCCCCATATCCCTCTTATGTGTAAGTCACCCTGTGCCTGTTAGGGGTACAGGGTGATCTGTCCAAATATTGGGGTGGGGGGTTGTTGATTGTTTGGTGTCATGTGGTTGCATCCCATTGTTCTATTGTTTGTCTGGCTTGAGAGCAAACTATTATGGGATGTATGTGTTTGTGTGTATTAGATTGGTGGGGCTGGGGGTGTCTCCAGCAGCCCTTCCTCCTTATGGGACTGTCTGCTGGTGTGAAGTTTGAATACCTGTGTGTCTCTTATTACTAAATGTAGATTGCCCCGCCCTGTGTCATTATGCAGGGAGGGGGGATTGCCCCGCCCTGTGTCATTATGCAGGGAGGGGGGATTGCCCCGCCCTGTGTCATTATGCAGGGAGGGGGGATTGTCCCGTCCTGTGTCATTATGCAGGGGGGGATTGCCCCGCTCTGTGTCATTATGCAGGGAGGGGGGATTGCCCCGTCCTGTGTCATTATGCAGGGAGGGGGATTGCCCCGCCCTGTGTCATTATGCAGGGAGGGGGGATTGTCCCCTGAGTGTATATATCTTGTATCTGTGTTCAAATAAAGTAGGCTACATTCTGGATTACTTCAAGATTGGTGTCGTCTCATCTTGTATGGTCAGTGGTGGTGTCTGTGGTCGGTGTTGGGACGGGGAAGCGGTAGTCTAATGGACGTACCCAAGTGCAGTCTGGGGTCGGTTCCATTACACCCTGTCTCTGAGAATAACTAGCAGTGACTGAGGGAACGTGAAAGAAACAGAAGGGTCTAGCTAGGACTGAACTAACTAGCACTAAACGGAAGGGAGGACAGAGGAAGAAATCAAACCACATAGTGGACGTCAGCATACTAGAGAACATGCAACTGAATACATGACAGAAAAATGCTGAACAGAACACGCGCGTGTTACTGCCGCCCCATGCACAAGCACGATATGGTGCGGTCAGACCTGCACTGCCATGCATTCCAAGGAACATGCTGTGCGTTGTGGTTTGCTGCATTAAAGGTGCAGGATTTTTTTTTTTCTCTTTTGCCTTGGCGGCACATTCCAAAAAATTCTAGAAAGTTCTCTCTCATTGTAACCCGTGTTAGGATCCAAACCCCATCCATGAACATACATGTGTCAATGTACAATGGCGTGATGAACGGGATCGGAGATTTACAACCACATTTGGCTCTTGCTTTTCATTTTGACGTGTGATCTCCTCTCTCTATAGGGGCGTCAGGCTCGGAGGAACGATCTGTGTAAGGAGGTGGAGATGAAGGATTCTGGGAAGACCAATGTGGGGAAGTACAGCTTCCAGAAGACGGAGTGAGGGGGGTGAGTATGACGGAGATCTTGGATCTGATCCAGTGATGAGCTCTACTGCTGATTCGGTCTCACCAGGGGCAGACTGACAACTCATGGGGCCCCCGGGCAATAGGGGATCATGGGGCCCCTGTGTCCTCGCCCACACCCAAAAAAGCCTTTGAAAGAGCCAATGAAAGGTACCAGGGGAATCCCATGGGGCCTCCTACTGACCCGTGCTCTCAGGCAGTGCTCGAATGGTCAGATCGCCCCTGGGTTTCACCTTCTATTACTGGAAGACTCCAGTCTGAGCTCCACAAAGCATCCACACCAGACCACCAGTGCGCTGAGCGCTGACCACCCATGACAGAGCAAAGCTGTGCTGAGGGGGTGGATGAGGGCGCCCTCCGCTGGTCTACTTTACAAAATTCTGGTTCTAATGCTGATCCTCAGGCTTCATTCCGCTTCCTGATTTCCTGCCTGAACCTCTACGCAGCTCCTGATCTGACAGTCAGGTTTGGAATGGAGCTGGAAGTGCGCTGTAACGGAACCGACCCCCAGACTGTGCTTGGGTACTTCCGTTAGACTATCGCTTCCCCGTCCGAACACCGACCACTGACATCACCGCTGACCATACAAGACTAGACGACACCCATCTTGAAGTAAACCAGAAGGTAGACTAGTTTATTTGAACACAGATACAAGATATATACACTCAGGGGACAACCCCCCCCTTGCATAATGACACAGGGCGGGGCAATCCCCCCTCCCTGCATAATGACACAGGGCGGGGCAATCCCCCTCCCTGCATAATGACAGAGGGCGGGACAACCCCCCTCCCTGCATATTGACACAGGGCAGGGCAATCTACATTTAGTAACAAGAGACACACCAACAGACAGTCCCATCAGGAGGGAGGACTGCTGGAGACACCCCCATGATATGGACAAGGCTGGGCAGGAGTAGGGATGATATGGACAAGGTTGAGCAGCAGGAGGGATGATATGGACAAGGCGCTGGGCAGGAGGAGGGATGATATGGACAAGGTTGGGCAGGAGGAGAGATGACATGGACAAGGTTGGGCAGGAGGAGGGATCATATGGACAAGGTTGGGCAGGAGGAGGGATGATATGGACAAGATTGGACAGGAGGAGGGATGATATGGACAAGATTGGACAGGAGGAGGGATGATATGGATAAGGTTGGGCAGGAGGAGGGATGATATGGATAACGTTGGGCAGGAGGAGGGATGATATGGACAAGGTTGGGCAGGAGGAGGGATGATATGGACAAAACTGGGCAGAACCAGTAGGAGGGATAATATGGGCATGGTTGGGTATGAGCAGGAGTAGGAACAATATGGATAGGATGGGCAGGAGCTGGAAAAGGAATGATATGGACAAGTTTGGGCAGGAGCAGGTGTAGTGGTGATATGGGCAAGGTTGGGTAAAGAGCAGAAAGAGGAATCATATGGAAAAGGATGTGCAAGAGGAGGGTTGATAAAAAAACAGGTTGGGTAGGAGCAGTAGGAGGAACAATATGGACAAGGTTGGATAGGAGGAACAATATGGACAAGGTCGGGTAGGAGCAGTAGAAGGGACAATATGGACAAGGTCGGGTAGGAGCAGTAGAAGGGACAATATGGACAAGGTTGGGTAGGAGCAGTAGAAGGGACAATATGGACAAGGTTGGGTAGAAGCAGTAGGAGGAACAATATGGACAAGGTCGGGTAGGAGCAGTAGAAGGGACAATATGGACAAGGTTGGGTAGGAGCAGTAGGAGGGACAATATGGACAAGGTTGGGTAGAAGCAGTAGGAGGAACAATATGGACAAGGTTGGGTAGGAGCAGTAGAAGGGACAATATGGACAAGGTTGGGTAGGAGCAGTAGGGGGGACAATATGGACAAGGTTGGGTAGGAGGAACAATATGGACAAGGTTGGGTAGGAGCAGTAGGAGGGACAATATGGACAAGGTCGGGTAGGAGCAGTAGAAGGGACAATATGGACAAGGTTGGGTAGGAGCAGTAGGAGGGACAATATGGACAAGGTTGGGTAGAAGCAGTAGGAGGAACAATATGGACAAGGTTGGGTAGGAGCAGTAGAAGGGACAATATGGACAAGGTTGGGTAGGAGCAGTAGGAGGGACAATATGGACAAGGTTGGGTAGGAGGAACAATATGGACAAGGTTGGGTAGGAGCAGTAGGAGGGACAATATGGACAAGGTTGGGTAGGAGCAGTAGGAGGGACAATATGGACAAGGTTTGGTAGGAGCAGTAGAAGGGACAATATGGACAAGGTTGGGTAGGAGCAGTAGGAGGGACAATATGGACAAGGTTGGGTAGGAGGAACAATATGGACAAGGTTGGGTAGGAGCAGTAGGAGGGACAATATGGACAAGGTTGGGTAGGAGGAACAATATGGACAAGGTTGGGTAGGAGCAGTAGGAGGGGGACAATATGGACAAGGTTGGGTAGGAGCAGTAGGAGGGACAATATGGACAAGGTTGGGTAGGAGGAACAATATGGACAAGGTTGGGTAGGAGCAGTAGGAGGGACAATATGGACAAGGTTGGGTAGGAGGAACAATATGGACAAGGTTGGGTAGGAGCAGTAGGAGGGACAATATGGACAAGGTTGGGTAGGAGCAGTAGGAGGAACAATATGGACAAGGTTGGGTAGGAGCAGTAGGAGGGACAATATGGACAAGGTTGGGTGGGAGCAGTAGGAGGGACAATATAGACAAGGTTGGGTAGGAGCAGTAGGAGGGACAACATGGACAAATATGGGCCAAAGACAGGAACATGGTTAGGTTTTGATATTTGGCTGACCCTCATTCTCCCCACCGATTACTTCTCTGTGTTTGTTTTCAGCTCCAGTCTAGACATTGCATGAGAAGATCCTGAATCCCGGATATTCGGGAAGATCCCATATACACCTCGCCGTCCTCCTCCTATAATCCCCTGTATCTGTATATTGTATAAGAGCACTTCCATATAAAGAGTCCTGGAGCAGAATGTGACGTATGTACGGAAGGGTCACACTATTGTGGAATAGGAATTAGAGAGGTGACAACGAGGCCACCAGAGGACCACTAATGTGAGAGTCCACCTTTGTGTCTGTGGAGAGCTGTGGCACTGAAATAACCTGCAGAGGATGTCATGAAGTGACAGGACTTGTAATGTACCTATCGTATACCTGGTGGGGGGGTGGGGGGTACATCACCAACACAGGAATTGTCGGTTTACACTGCATACCCATTGGGCCTCAACCCCTTATCATGTCGGTGGGGTGCAGTGTGGTGCCGCAGCAATAACACACACAGTTCCAGTGCCATGAAATAACTTGTATTGAAACAATGCAAAGACGGGTCACAAATAACTCGATGGGAAGGCAGCCTAGCCGAGGATACTCACAGGTCCACCAGCAGGTTTCAGCCGAACTGACAGCATCTGTAGAGAGGGGCAGAATGTGGCCTGGTCGTCTTGCACCCAAGTGGGCAGATGTCCAGAGAAGTAGCCAACCCAACGCTTTCCCTCCTTGTCAGGAACTTTTCCCTGACCCTACCAGACGGGGTACCTGCCTCTACTTACAGGCCAAACCTGGGAGCCAGGGCCTTAGAAAGACTCTAGCTCTGAGGAAGAGGCAAGGCCTCGAAACGCGTCAAACGGTTGGATCTTTGTATCTTCCACCATGTGATGAAATGCATTGTGGGTTGGAATGTTGCTGTTGCCTTGTGACAAGCTGATGTACATCTGTTGGTTATAAGTATAATATTTACCACGTTTATATCAATAAAGTCAAGTTTTGAGGATAATGCACTAGGCTGGTGCACCTCTGTTCTATTTTACGTGCCTTGAAAAGACTCTGCCTGATCCAAGATGGCTACAGGAGTCACATGGGGTGGCAGCAACCAATGTGATAGCTTCTCTAGTGACCCAGGAAACCATAGAGGAGCCATGTTCCTTATGGCTTCTTCTTCAACCGCAGTGCTTCTGCAGACAAGCGCCACCTGCAGTGGAGAAAGTAGACGGCACCTGACTACCCATGTGGAAGAAAAATATATTTGAAATATATTTTAAAAATATTCTTCCCAAATATATTTCCATATATTTGAAATGCTACAATTTTGGCCGTATTCAATATAAATATATATATATATATATAAAAAAAAATTTTTTCCCAATAAATATATATATTACAATAAATAAATATATATATATATATACACTGCATGTTGAAATGCATTTTTATTACAACAGGTCCATAAATATTGGGACATGGACACAATTGTAACATTTTTGGCTCTATACACCACCACAATGGAGTTGAAATGAAACGAACAAGATGTGCTTTAACTGCAGACTGTCAGCTTTAATTTGAGGGTATTTACATCCAAATCAGGTGAACGGTGTAGGAATGACAACAGTTTGCATATGTGCCTCCCACTTGTTAAGGGACCAAAAGTAATGGGACAGAATAATAATCATAAATCAAACTTTCACTTTTTAATACTTGGTTACAAATCCTTTGCAGTCAATGACAGCCTGAAGTGTGGAACGCATAGACATCCCCAGACGCTGGGTGTCATCCCTGGTGATGCTCTGCCAGGCCTCTACTGCAACTGTCTTCAGTTCCTGCTTGTTCTTGGGACATTTTCCCTTCAGTTTTGTCTTCAGCAAGTGAAATGCTCCATCGGATTCAGGTCAGGTGATTGGCCATTGCAGAACATTCCACTTCTTTGGTGGCTTTTGCAGTCTGCTTTGGTCATTGTCCATCTGCACTGTGAAGCGTCCAATGAGTTGTGAAGCATTTGGCTGAATATGAGCCGATAATATTCCCGAAACACTTCACAATTCATCCGGCTGCTTCTGTCAGCCGTCACATCATCAATAAATACAAGAGAAGCAGTTCCATTGGCAGCCATACATGCCCACGCCATGACACTACCACCACCATGATCACTGATGAGGTGGTATGCTGAGGACCATGAGCAGTTCCTTCTCCATCCTCTTCTCTTCCCATCACTC